GCAAATTTTACGATTGTTGTGCGGTTATCACACACAACGACAATAAAAAGTCAAGTGATTTTGTTTTCTTTTCTGGTATTTATCAAACATTATTTTGCCAGCTCCTCCGGTCTCCTATAAAACCCTCAAAAAGCTTTTGTAGTTTTAGCCTCTAGGAAAGTTGATATGGCAGAAGAAGCTTTGGTTAAAAAAGCAGGAGATAAGTACAGATCTTTCTTACATGATGAAGCTGAGAATATCACGCAGTGGAGGCATGGTGGCCCTCCCATATATGATTCCGTAAATCAGCTCTTCGAAGAAGGCCGAACTAAGGTTATCGACTCTCTTTTTTCTTTTCATTTCCTTTGTCCTTGTATATGTCTAAATTAGGCGTTCGTGTATGTGTGATGAGTGTTTCTTTTGCCTCTCAAATCCTGTGCTTATAGACATGGTTTGCAGGAATGGCCCAAAGGATCTCTAGAAGAAGTGGTGCAAAATGCTATAAAGTCTTGGGAAATGGAACTCTCACACAAGACTCGTTTACAGGACTTCAAGACCATCAACCCTGACAAATTCAAGCTCATTGTTAATGGTACTATACTGAACTTGAAACCCAAATTTCATTTCTTACTTATTTATTCCTCTTTGATTTAAACTGGACTAATGTTACAGAGAGGGGAAGATTATCAATTAAGGAAGTTGCCTTGAACCTCACCTGTAAGTATACTGATATCGATATATTTTCGATTCTATGGCAGGAAGAGAGGGTTTATCGGGAGAAGAGACGCTTAGGATTGGTAGCTACAACGCATTGTTGAAGAATTCTCTGCCAAAGGAATTTCAGTACTACAAAGCAGATGAAGAAACCTTTGAATCATCTCATGATGCCTTTCGATCTGCCTTGCCTCGAGGATTCGCATGGGAAGTGCTGAGTGTATATTCAGGGCCTCCAGTGATTTCTTTCAAATTCAGGCATTGGGGTTTCTTTGAAGGACCTTTCAAAGGCCATGCTCCTACTGAAGAAAAGGTTGAGTTCTATGGCTTTGGAGTCCTCAAGGTATGCTTTAATTAAAAACACTGAAAAGATAAAAAAAAAAAAAGTATATGTATATGGTTATGACCCTTGAATATTTTTGGGTCTCATTACCACAACGCATATGCACTAGGGGTATAAAGAAGGTTGAGGACCTATGCTAAGACTTCTACTGAAGACAAGGTTGAGTTCTATGGCTTCGGAGCCCTCAAGGTATGTTTTAAAAGATACTGGGGAAAAAAAAAACAACACCAAACTAGTAATCGAAAAGGAGAAAAACAAATTTCTGACTTAAAATGCTAAGAACATCAAAATATCGTGTTCTTTTAAAAAAAAACATTTCCGGAAATAAATTCATCAACTTTCAAGTTTGATGGGTCTTATTCATTGTTTTATGGAGGATTTGTAGAGTATTTCTTTTTATGATTCAATCCAATTTTAAAAGTATTTTTGTTTGAAAAAAAATTAAATTGATATTTTTTTATTTTATTTTCTTATAATCTTATTATGTTAACATCCAAAATTTTGCGTTTTATCAATGCCTTATTCCTTCGGTATTTAGTTTATTAGAAAAACTTTTACTGATAACATAAATATTGTTTTTTGCTTCTTTGTTGAAAAATATTCATAATGGCATTTTATTTGATAAGTTGGTATCCATTTGACAATATCACAAGAAATTATAAAGAACTTGAAAATTTTGAATTTGTGGAACTCGAAAAGGTAAAGTAAAAATAAAGGAAAGCCTAATACAAAAGATGAAATAACTGTGATTTCTTTCCGGGTTCCCAGGTGGATGAATCTCTGAGGGCAGAAGATGTGGAGGTTTACTATGACCCAGCAGCGTTATTTGGGGGGCTCCTGAAGGGGGCGCTGATATCGCCATGCCAATCAGAAGATAACACTGTCACCACCGCCGCAGCAACGCGTGGCTGTCCATTTTCCAAATAAATATCACCTGACATGTGTTTGTCGTTGTGCCATGAGTGATTTCTTGCTTTCGTTTGTATGATGAATCAAAGTGCTTGTTTGCTTGCTTTTATTATCGTTTAGAGTTGTTTTGTTTTTGAGATAGTTTTTATGGTTATCAGTTAAAAAAGTAAGTTTAAAAAAGATGGTTAGTTGTGATTAGTTAAATTTAAATATTTATTTGATAAAAATTATGAATGAAATTTACATATAATAAAAAATATGTATAAAATGTTTGATAGAATTGTGATTGCAATTGTTTTTTAAAGTATTTATTTTTAGAAATGTATTAGTTAAATTTAATTATTTATTTGATAAAAATTATAGTTGAAGTTTATATATAAAAAAAAATATGTATAAAATGTTTAATGTAATTGTGGTTCAAAGTATTTTTTTCTTGGAAATGCTTCTGATATGAAAATATTAAAAATATATTAATTTGAAGAAAAAAATATTAGCACATCAAAATGATATGAAAATACTAAAAATATATCAATTTGAAACAAAGAAAAAAATAAAAAAATTTAGATTTTATTAAAAATATTTTTGAAACACAAAAACAAACAAGATTTTACAAAAATCAATTAAAAAACATGCAAAAATTACTTCATAAAAATTGCATTTCAAACTTAATTTTTTAATGTCCTCTGGAATACAAAATGAAATTTGGTTTGTTGCCTGTATTTGTTTCACCACAAATAAAAAAAGCTGATGAAAAACATACGCAGCCTTAATATGCTGTTGTGTGTCTGTTCATTCCTCTCAAGGCAACATTTGCTTCTTGGTGTGTATAAGAAGAAATGGTCACGGATGAAGTGCCTATAAATAATACCATCACCTTGTTTTTCATTAGCAGATTCTTACACATACTAAATGGACAGTCAAGCAAAAACTACCCCATTTCTATCTTCAGGTCTCGGATCTTACACTGATTCCATCTTTGCATTAAGTTATGATCACTTCTTTTTGTATTCAATTCGGTTGATTTAATGTCATTGCTTCTTTTTTTATCCACTTGATTATTAACAGCTTATTTTAACCAACAAGATCATAAGCTGAGGCGCAAGGTTTTTTTTTTTTACTTTTAAAAACATACTTCCGGTGCTTGAACATCCCTTCTATGCTAAAAATAATTTTGGTTTTGTCAGTCATATCACGGGCCTAACTCTCCCTAATGTAATATTGCCAAACTCTAAAATGGACCAAGATGAATCAACCCATTCAAGGACTTCAGATTCCACATACATTTCAACAAGAACAAATGAGTATAAATAGTGTCATTAAAAATGACTCATTTCAGCGGAATTCAATTTTGGGGTCTGTGCCTGGACGACCTTCTTCTACAAGTGCCAAGCTCAACATTTCAGTGCAAAATTGATCATCTGGTTTCAGCCATAAAGCCTGATTGAGAAGAAAATATGATAAGACCAGGGCTTAGGGGATTTTAATGACGAAGAAGATAGAGGGGATGGGGGGAGCACTATAACCACAGTATAATTTTGCGTTTGAAAGCATACAATACTCTTACTTACCTTGTGGTAGTATGTCATTGCAGCAGTAAACCCATCCTGTGCAAAAAGGGGAAAAAAGAGAGGCACCAATAAGATGGCTTTTAAATCATGATAGTATCAAATTGTAACATTGCCCCCATTTAGATAGTCCAACTTTTCCGGCAACCTAATGGCAAGTCATTATAATTGGCATTAAAACTTGTTCATTCTTCCAAGTCAGTCCAAGTCCGACAAGATAATCTGCAACTAGTAAATTAGGGAATCCACTACTACTTGAAAATGAAGTATAAGAATTGGATTTTAGCTTCAAGCAAATACAGGATGTTGTTGGATGATTTCAATAATAGAAAAGATTGTCATGCAATCAACACAAGAAACTGAACTGTAGTCCCATGTTAATTTGTGTACATGCTAAAACGATGACGATATATTACCTTTACATTGTTGCCTGCCTTACCAGACCAGTAACTATGAGGTATGACATTTAAGCACAACATAGAACGTGACTGCAATTTTATGAGAAAGAAAGGTCGAGAGAGCACTATTTCCCTTGGAATAGGCCTATTTGAAAATTGAAATCATAACAAGGCCACAAATTATTGAGTTCTACACATCATGCATATCAAAGTTCATAGACTAGTTAAGGACCTCATCCTTCTTTTTTCCTTTTTGAGAGTGATTTTAGGGCTTCTTATTAATATAATAAATATTCAAAATTCCTCCTTTATAATAATAAAATATATTCTGAAATAGTTTTTTGTAAGCACCGTATAAAATAAATGTCATACAATGAAAATCATACAACACTTAATAATGAATGCGTTTTTAAAATTGATTATTTTATGCTTTGAAAAGCCATGAAAATTAACAACATAAAAGTGACATGTTAGTAAAATTTCCACATAATGATGATAGGAATAAAGTATCCTTACTCCTTCATGTTATAAGCAACAACACCTAGTTCATTGTATACAAGTGGATCTGAAGGGTTAATTGCCTTTGCCTGCATGAAAAACTGAAAAACAGAGAGGCGCATCTGAATGTAGACAAACCATAACAAGAAACAGGTTGAAAACTATAAAAGGAAACAGGATTCCTAAAGACGAATGAGTAGAGTGAAATAATATTATGTTCAAAGTCCATCCAACTTATACTCATTTTGCAAGCAAGCTACAAATAATTCCCCAAATGGAAAATGGAAATCATTTGCTTAAACTACAAGCAAGAATTTGAAGTCAATGCAACAAATAAGATCTCACCAGTTGGGAAAACTAGAAACAAATAACCAGACACCAATTTAGCCAAATCAATTCACAATTCACAAGTTTCAATTATTTTCTCTCTTTGTACAATCAAAATCAGAATCAAACAATCAACAAATATCATACAACAATCACACAAATCAACACCAAGATTTTTATGTGGAAAACTCGATGCGGGAAAAACCACGGAACTATAGTCCATCTAAAAACATTCACTATCAACAAATAATAGGTTCATAACTATTCTTTCTTAGATTCAACTAAGGGTTACAACATACATATCATCAAGAATAACTTATTCTTGAAATACAATAAGATTAAAGAAGAAGTATGTGAGAAAAACTAACAATACTGATAGCCCATTTTCTGTCAAAACAGTCAGCTTCCACACCACCACTCTTTTATCCAACCATTTAGAATGAAGAGTAACATGTCTAGAAGCTGCTATCAAAATCTTAGTCCTATCCAACGGTGAACGAGCTGGAAATCAAGAAAAGAAAACAGACTGTTTTGCTGCCTCTTATTCCTTCCTTTCTCCTTTTTCTCTTGCTATCTTTTGTTCAACAATGCTACTATCTCCACAGATCATTTAATTTAAAGAGATAGCTCTTGACAATTAATGTGGTGGTCCCGCCATCACATGGTACGGAACCACATACAACAAATCTCCCTCTCACGTACCATGTGAGGAATTCGCTATAGTGGCGATCAATATGTAAGTTTCGATTTATGAGGCTCTACCAAACCTGTTTCCTTTCTATAAAATTCAAACTTCTATCTCGATAGAGGTTTGGTCATCATGTCTAACACGTTGTTATCAGTATAGATCTTCTCAACAACAAATAACTTCATCTCCATAATATCTCGAATCCATTGATATCTAACCTCAATGTGCTTTGATCGAGAGTGAAAAGTAGGATGCTTACTGAGATGGATTGCACTTTGACTATTACAGTGCAACGCAAAGTTCTCTTGAACTAGGCCAAGTTCATGTAAGAACTTCTTCATCTATAACAACTCTTTATCCCTTTTAGTAAGAGTAATATATTCAGCCTCTATAGTAGATAATGTAACGTATTTTTGCATCCTTGATTGTCATGAGACTGCTCCCCCTACAAACTTTATCAAGTATCCTAATGTAGATTTTTTATAATCAACATCACTAGTCATATCTACATTTGTGTCTCCAACCAACATATGATTATTATTACCAAAACATAAACTGAAACTAGAAGTACCTTTGAGATACTTGAGTATCCATTTCACTACTACCCAATGTTCTTCACCGTGACTGGAGAGGAACCGCCTAACCAAACCAACTGCATAAGTTATATATGGCCTTATACAAACCATGACATACATCAAGCTATCAACTGTAGATATATAAGTGATTAGTATTTAAAAGTGAATTTTTATCAAGGTTTTATATCATTATTTTGCACTTGAAGTACCAATAACTCTTTAACTAAAGCATGTTTTATAATAACATATCTAATAATATAAGATACCTTTAATTTATGGTAAATGTTCATTTTAAATGCAAACCTATCACATAAAAGGATTGATTGATGAGTTTGAGAACTAAAATTGAAAGGATAAAGAGATGGCCAAACTTAGAAAAGAGATGTTGGCGCAGTCCAAACCGGAACACTATTCGGTAATTAGGTCATATCTGGAGCTATAGATCTTGCATTTAAGTCTACTTTATATGGATGAAAAGGTAAAACATAGGCCTACAACTTTCATATGGAGGTTTGGTTTTAATAAGGTCGTTTTCAAGTCGAAATGGTAGCGACAACAAAGAAGTCTGAATCTGTCCTGCAACCCAGACACTGTTCTATGTTTGGTCCATATCTGAAGTTTTAGAAGTTTAAATGAACTTCACTTTTTTTTACCTGGAAAGCTAAGACAATTTCTTAAAACTTTCATGTGTCAAGTGGTTTCAATTCTAACATTATCAATAATGTTTTGGGTAGACAAGAGAAGATAAGGATTGTCACCAAGTCAAGAGTTGGCCACCCACTTGTCAAATAGTCATCAAATCAATAGTTTCTAATTTTAGCCTATAAAAGGAGGCATCTTGGTTTCTAAATTAAGATCATGCTCTTGCTTTCTCTCTTTGTATTTTTTGTAATGTTTATGCTTTACTTTCATTAAT